ATATTAGAATTAAATGTTACTAATAAAACAAATGAGAGCAAATGTCAACAAAATGACTCAAAAATTACTTCTGTATTTCTCATAGCACTGAAAAATGGTTAATATCTTTAAAAACCAAGCCACACAAGGAAATGAAAAAAAAGGCAAAAATATGAGAGAATAAGTGATAAATATACTTTTAAAAGAGTTTATAGCATGGAAGAGGAAAGAATGTAGAAAAATGAATTAGATGTAAACTAAATTAAATGACATGTATGAAAATACTTTGTGATTTCTGAGAATTTTGTAATGGTGTTTTATGATGAGGACTGGGAATAAGAGTAGGGAATAGTGTAAAAAAAAAGAATATAAGATAAAAATTTTAAGATATTTATTGAACTGATAATAATAATGTGCTATCACCTGAGGTATGCAATTATTTTGGGTAAATCACCTGTCCCTGACCGCCCAAAAAAAAAAAAAAAAAAAAAAAAAAAAAAAAAAAAAAAACCAAAGAAAGGAAAAGAAGGGTGGCGCTGTCCCCCGCTTGCGCGCCCAGGCCCGCGCCATGCGCCCCGGGGGCGTCCCGCAGCTTCGCGCTGGAGCTGGAGCGGGGAGGTGCGTACCGTGGCGGGGAGCTGCTGTGCGGCCGGGTGCTGCTGGAGGCGGCGGCGCCGCTGCGGGTGCGAGCGCTCGAGGTGGCCGCTCGCGGCGGGGCGACCACGCACTGGCTCCAGGGCCGAAGCGTGGGCATCAACGCGGTTTCCAGCGACTTCACGGCCGTCGAGACATACCTGCGGCGGCGGCAGCTGCTGCTCCGAGGTGAGCGGCTCACCCTCCCGCTCCATAGCCAGGATCCCCTCAGCACCCTCTCCCCAGTGTCTCCACTCTCCCACTGGGACATTCACTCACCGACCCCTTCCAAAACCCTCTTTACTGCCCTCCCTCCTACCCCCCCCCCCCCCCAGTATCTGGGCACCCACCTTCCAGAGCACAGACGCCCTCGATTTAGAGGCTGTGGTGTGTGGTGGGGGCCTCTGTCTGGTGGGGGCCTATACCTGGGTGGGGCAAGGAGATCCTTCTCTCTGCACCCCAGGACCCCCTGTTAGCCCCAAGCCTGGGATCCCTGATTCCAACGAAAGCCACTGTGTGGCTCAGCCAGTGCCCCCTCCCAAAGTTTAGCGCTCAGTGTTTGCTGGGGCGAGTTCTTCCCTGGGTTGGCGTTCTGGTGGCTTTGCAGGTGAGGGGAAGGAGACTTGGGGTGAGGTCAGATTAGGCTGGGAGTCTCACCCTGGCAAACCTCAGCCTCCCACTCTCAGGCCCAATGGCTGGCCAGGAGCAGAACAGGGGCCACAGAAAGGGCTTTGGGGTGCATGGGCCTCTTTGGGTGACCTTTCCATCCCTCCCTATACCCATCTGTAAAATATGCCAGGCAGGAGGCAGCTCAGACCTGGCCTTGCGGCCCGGTCCAACAGCCCCCAGGTTTGGGGCACTCGGGCCTGACCGGCTGTGGAAACCGAGGCTAGCAGGCATGGGGTGTGGCCGGAAGGGGCCCCAGAGGAACTTCCTTTCTCCTGCAGCTCAAGCCAAATTGGGGCTGCTCTCACCCTACAGTCCCCCTGGTCCCACTCACGGGTGGCTTCTTCACTCACTGGAGAGGTGAAGCTTTCCTCATCTGCTGTCTGACCCTGCCCATCTCTGGGTCGGTGGGTGAATGTCCCACCCATAAAATGGAGCAGCAGCTGCCACTTGCTCACTATGAGCCTTCCTGTCCTGCCAGAGTCACCTCATCCTCCACCTCTTCCTGGCTTATGGTCTCCTGTCCTCTCCTGGCTCCACTTGGCGGTGACAGAAGGTTCCAACCCCTTCTTTCAGCCCCAGCGCCTCCTCCTCTAAGCAGACCTCAGACTGATCACTGAGGGGACAGCCTCTGCCCCACCCTTTGGGCCTGCTCTCACCACTATCGCGGGCTGACCCCGTCTGGTTATGGCCGTCTCCCACTGCGGGTGCGGAGGCCTTTGGGGTGCGGAGGCCTTTAGGGGGGCGTCCCAGCTTGGCCTGAGCCAGACTCAAAGGGATGGCCGAGGTAGGCATGGCTTCGGGCGGCAGTGCATCTCGCTGCCAGGAGAGGGCGCAGGTCCCCCGTAGATCGCGAGGAGGCAACTCTCGGCTTAAAAACTCCTACGTATGATTCTTCTCTCGGGAAACTGAGGCCCAGAGAAGCGTCATCCCCGCCCCGAGGTAACCTCGCAGCCCTGGACCCGGGGGTGCCTGGAGCTTCCCCTGCGCTCGGCTCTGTCTGTGAGGGGACCAGGGCTGGAGGTGCCCAAAGCGGGCATTAGGGCTAGGCCTAAAAGTTTAGAAGGCATTTGCCCGGGGCTGGAACTGGGAAAAGAAATGTCGGCTGAGGCTTAAGTGCTTTGGCGCAACCGAGTGGCGGCGCGTTGGTGACCCGGGAACAAGGCTCTGGGAAGGGTCCAGGAGGGGCAACACTGGTTCATGCACAGCCCTCTGAGAGGGGGGCTTATTTTCTCCCGGCACCGCGCACGTGGGAACGCGGGCTCCAAGAGGTTGTCACCGGTCCGGGGTCACCCAGCTGAGCGGGGTTTGAATCAGAAGAGGGGGGCAGCAGGTACGGGGGTGGGTAGGGAGGGAGGCCCCACCGACTTCCTCATCCCTCCCCATTGCACAGAGCGGGAAACTGAGGCCCGGGTGACCTAGGCTCTCAGCGCCCCGATCGGCGCCAGGCCATTGCACACCCCTCCAGCTCTGGCTGGACATGTCCCGGTCATAGCTACAAATAGTGGCGGGTTGATGATTAAGCCAAAGGACCGAATGGTCTTTCGGAGTGACCTGAGGCCCAGGCCCCGCTTCCTGGCCTCAGTTTCCCCTCTTTACCCCCGGGATCCGCGAGAGGCCGAATCTGGTGTCCAGTGCTTCAGTTTCACCCCGGGGTCCACGAGGGTGGAGGGCTTCCCGACTGGGAGCCTGGGCGTTTGTTATTTTGCTCCACGCCTGGGCGGAGCCACGCCCCTCGCCGCGCCATTGGCGGATTCCATTCCGGGGCGGGGCAGGAGTCTTGTCCCCGCCCCCCCCTTGCCATATAAGAGCGGCGCCAGCGGCGGCGGCGAGGAACCTCTGCCTGGCTCAGTAAAGTGCTCCCGCGCGAGCCGGGTGGGGGTCGCGTCCTGAAGCTGTGGCCTCGGCACCTCGCTCCGCCGCGTCAGGGATTCGAGGCCAGGGTCCCCGTGCCTGCCTAGGGTTTGCATCCCCGGCGCGATGCTGTTCGACAAGGTGAAGGCATTCGTGGTGCAGCTGGACGACGCGAGCGCGGGCGCCGATCCCGTGTTCTGCGGCGGCCAGGCCGTAGCCGGCCGGGTGCTGCTGGAGCTGGCGGGCCCGGGGCGCGTGGGCGCCCTGAGGCTGCGCGCGCGGGGCCGCGCCCGCGTACACTGGAGCGAGTCACGCAGCTCCGGCTCCAGCACCGCGTACACGCAGAGTTACAGCGAGCGCGTGGAGGTCCTGAGCCACCGTGCCACGCTTCTCGGGCCAGGTACAATTAGGGACCCCCGCGTGGCGCAAGTGCTCGCGCCCTGCGAACCCCTCAGCCCCTGAGCCACCCCCTCTTGCTCCTACCTGCAGATACTGGAGAGACAACCACGCTGCCTGCGGGGCGCCACGAGTTCCCATTCAGCTTCCGGCTGCCTCCGTAAGTCATCTGGGTGCTGGATTGGGGGGGAGTACCCCTCAGGTTTGGGGCTCCACTGCTTCGTATCTGGGGATCTATGAGCCCCAAGACTGTCTCCGCTGGGAGGCCCTCAGGAGTGTCTCTGTGTCTCTCAAGCCTAAGTCCTTGGGAATCTGCAACCTGCTGGTCTCTGGATGGCCTCCCCCTGAAGCCCCTTCCTTCCACCCCAGGACACTGGTGACGTCCTTCGAGGGCAAGCACGGCAGTGTCCGTTACTGCATCAAGGCCACCCTGCACCGGCCCTGGGTTCCGGCCCGCCGGGCAAAGAAGGTGTTTACTGTGATCGAGCCTGTGGACATCAACACCCCTACCCTGCTGGTGTGTGGCTGGCCGCCCCTGGGGAGGTGGGATGGTAGCCCAGGGCCCTGGCTGCCCGGTGACTCCAGCTGGCTCCTCGCCCCCTTCACAAACTGTCACAAAGTTCGGGTCACAGTTGGGTCCGGGCTGGGAGGGAGACGGGCAAGGGAGTGTCTTGTTGAGTCAGTGCAGCCTGGTGCAAATGCCAGCTGCACCGATTTGCCTTGTGGCTCAGAGCGATTGTCTCACCCTCTCTGTGAAATAGGGCACAGCCAGGGCACAAACTAATAATGGCTTGCTGAGCACTAATTGCATACTCGCTTGCTCGTTTCAATTTTAGCGTCATGAGCTGGGTCATGTTCCTAGATCCATTTCACAGATATTTCCTAGATTGTGGAAAAGAGACCAGGAAACTGGGCCCGAACTCAGGTCTTCCCTCCGCTGGGGATAGTGTGGAAGCCCCACACGGTGACCCATTTATGTCTTTTTCCTCCACCCCGTCAGGCCCCTCAAGCAGGAGCCCGGGAGAAGGTCGCCCGATCCTGGTACAGTAACCGCGGCCTGGTCTCCCTCTCGGCCAAGATCGACCGCAAGGGCTACACACCAGGTAGCCGGCGGCGGCAGCCCGATTGGGAGGAGGGCCAGTGTCGGGGCTGCAGGTGGGGACACGGAGGCCCTGCCGCTTCCCATTACAGGTGAGGTGATCCCTGTGTTCGCTGAGATTGACAACAGCTCCACGCGCCCGGTGCTGCCGCGAGCAGTTGTGGTCCAGACACAGACCTTCATGGCGCGAGGCGCCCGCAAGCAGAAGCACGCGGTGGTGGCCAGTCTCTCGGGCGAGCCCGTGGGCCCAGGGCGGCGGGCGCTGTGGCAGGGCCGGGCGCTTCGGATCCCCCCGGTGGGCCCCTCCATCCTGCACTGCCGGGTGCTGCATGTGGACTACGCCCTCAAGGTGAGTATCATAGGAGGCGGCGGGGGGGGGGGGGGGTGCATCTGCTCTGTCCCCCGGTAGGGCCCCCCAAGGCTGGAGCTGGGGCCCCTTGAGTCCAGGCAGGGCCTCCTTCTGTGGACGGCAGCTGTGAGAGGCTGCCTGGGCACCCTCCATTGCGGCTCCTTCCCCCAGGTCTGCGTGGACATTCCGGGCACATCGAAGCTGCTCCTGGAGCTGCCGCTGGTCATCGGCACTGTCCCCCTGCACCCTTTTGGCAGCCGCTCGTCCAGCGTGGGCAGTCATGCCAGCTTCCTGCTAGACTGGGGGCTGGGGGCCCTGCCAGAGCAGCCTGAGGGTGAGTGCCCATCCTGGTGTCCCCAGGGAGGGGTAGAGGTGCCAGGCCAACATGCCCTCCCCAACGTGAATGCCCCATCTGAATAGCACACAGTAATGATCCCATTGACAACCACGGACGCCCCACGAATCCCTGGTTGAGGACACACAGCCCAGCAGCTCAGAACTGGCACAAGCAGGCTCCTAGCCGCTGTCCCCAATTCCAGGGCTCCCCGCCCACCACCACCCTCACCCCTCGGCTCTCATTTCCAGCCCCGCCAGAGTACTCAGAGGTGGTGGCAGGTGACGCGGCAGCCGGGGGCCAGAGCCCCTTGCCTCTACCTCAGGACTCCGACATGAGCCTCGAAGGCCCCTTCTTCGCCTACATCCAGGAGTTCCGCTACCGCCCGCCACCCCTGTACTCCGAGGTGAGCTGGGGGATCCATGGAGCCCCCACGCCTTTCCGGGCCCTGGGAGCCGAGAGGGAGGTGGGAGACACAGGGCCTGAACCAGCCTTGAGCCCAGTCTGCTGTAGGGGCTGGAGACGATCAGGGCAGGGCGGGGTGTTTCTCTGGTGCCCCCTGAGGCTTGATGGGTTTGTTTTCCTCAGGAGGATCCAAACCCCCCCTCTGAAGCCATGAGGCCACGCAGCATGACCTGCTGAGTGGGAGTGGACACCTCCAGGGATGAGGTTGCACATGTGCTTCCAGCCCCCGTGGACATGGGGAGTGGCTGGCCCAGGAGAGACCCGCCTGACTGTGGTTGAAGTTTGGGAAATCAAGTCTTGGAACAGGGCACGGCTGTTCACACAGGACAGAGGAAGAGCCAGTCTGGCATCTGACTGAGCTGGTCCTTGTAAGGCATCAAATGGCTGGTGCAGGATCCGAGTGACTGTTCAAGCTGTCTGTGCTGGCCTGTGGACAGGGCTGGGTTCCCCAGGAGCCTCCAGTCTGGGAGAGACACAGCCGGGCACAGATACTTCCAGTCTAGTGGGACCAGAGGAAGGCCTGAGAGAGTCCAGGGAGAAATCAGGGAAGGCTTCCTGGAGGAAAGGGCATTTAAGCCGAAGCTTTGGCATACGAATAAGCTCAGGAGACAGGCAAGCAAGAGAGAGGAGAAGTCAGACAAGGTCAAAGCCGAGTGAAGTTTGGAGACTGCCCCCTTCATCTTAGTAACAGGGCTCAGAGGGCAAGTGCTTCCGTTGAGGTCACGCTGCAAGGTCCAGCAGTCGCGAGGGCCCAGGAATGAGTCATTCAGGGAAGCAGGTCCTGGGAGCTGTGTGGGACCTGTGGGTGGCAGGGGCAGCGGCTCCGGCCTTTGAAGGCTCTGAAAGCTGGAGATTCTACCGCAGGCTGAGACCGCCCGAGGGCTTCTCCAGGCACGCAGACACGGAGCTGTGTGGCCGGGAAACCCAGGTTCTGAGCGGGACAGACAAGATGTGCTACATAACTTGCAAATGAAAGCGTGGGGGCCTTGTTCAAGGAGGATTAAGAATTTCAAGATAATGACAGCAGAGCATTCAATCAGGCCCTGGGACAGAGGTCAGCCTGGGGTGACACAGCAGGGCCAGTGTGCTTCTGGAGACCCCTGTGTCCAGAGGGACAAAGCAGGAGGGAGTGGCTAAATAAGCCCCCAACTGCAGAGTCCTGGCCCCGGCTAGGGCAGAGTCCCGGCCTGGGTCTCAGCATTCCTAAGCCTTAAATTGTTCTCTTTTGTACAATTATTTTTTTAAATAAAAGTGTTGGAAGGAAGAGACGAGGCTTGTTGGTTTCTCTTCCCCCAGCTGCTGAGGAAGCTGGGGTAGCCTTGACTACCGTCCTGATCGGGTTCCAGGCCAAAGAGGGTTGAGGGGCCCATTGTCCAGAAGGGGAAACTGAGGCCCGGGGACACACAGGGAGGCTGAGCTCAGGTTGGAGCCAGACCCCCTCAGCCCTCACCTCTCCCCTGGTGCGGTCACAGGTGCTAGTAATGTGAACGGTGAAGGACAGGAAGCTTCTGTTCTCAGCAAATGGAGAGGAAGAGGCTGGGCTGGATGGGGTTCTGGGCTGGAGGAGGTCCTATCTGAGTCTGGGCTTTTTTCTTTCTTCTTTTTTTGAGATACAATTCTCATCAAAAAATGAACCATTTTAAGTATATTTTTATTGATTTCAGAGAGGAAGGGAGAAGGAGAGAGAGAGAAACATCAATGAGGAGAGAGAATCATTGATCAGCTGCCTCCTGCATACCAACTGGGGATTGAGCCCGCAACCCAGGCATGTGCCCTGGACTGGAATCGAATCTGGGACCCTTCACTCCACTGAGCCAAACCAGGACATAAAATGAACCATTTTAGAGTAAACAATTCTTTAGTGTTTAGCATATTCACAATATTGTGCAACCATCACCTCTATCTAGTTCTAGAACATTTCATCACCCCAGGTTGAGACCCCATCCCCTCTCCTACCCCCTGGCAACCACTAATCTGCTTTCTGTCTATATGTTGCCTGTTCAGGACATTTTATATCAATGGGATCACACACTGTGTGGCCTCTCTGTCTGGCCTCTCACTCAGCATGTTTTTGAGGTTCACCCACATTGTCGCGTGCCATTGCTTCACTCCTCATGGCTGAGCAATACTCCTCTGTGTGTTCATCCATTCACCAGCTGATGGACATCTGAGTCATTTCCACGATTGGCGCTTGTGACGGGCTTATGTGGACCAATGTGCACAGGGTTTGTTTGAACACTCACAAGGCGTTAGAAGGCAGCCCGCGTGGTGGGAGGTGGTCATTCTCCTGGGGTTGCCGGTGGGGAAAGTGAGTCCAAGGGAGTGAGGTGACTTGCCCAGGGTCCCCCAGTAGGGACTGAGGGAACCACCTCTCAAAACAGGCCCTGGAACTTAGGAGGCCACACCCCACTTGCTCCTCCCGCAGAGCCAGCAGCTCAGGCTCTGCCTCAGATTCTGAGGTCCTGCCCCTTGGGGCAAGGCCCAATTAAAACCCTGGTCTGATCCTAGACTGTCCACCAGCCAGCCTAAGGGCCTAAGGCCGTGAAAGTTAACTGGCCACTCGGGATGGTCATTGGTGGGGCTGAGGGGCAGGGATGGGTATGTGGGGGGTGGGGGGGGTGAACCTAGGGACAACACTGGGAGATCTGGGTTGGACTTTTGCTGTGACCATGGTCAGGGCACTTGCTTCTGAGCCTCAGTTTCTCCATCTGAGGCTCTGGGACACCTCCCCTCCCAGCCCCCATCACCTCCTTCCTTGACCTGATTTGGGCCCTGATTTCCAGCTGCTCCTGCTCCCGGGGTCCACCCAGCAGCGTCTGCTCTGGGCAGCGGGCCTGGCACCCAGCTCGGAGGGCGCCAGACCTGAATGTCCTGAGACTGGGATCGGGGGAGATCTTTCCACAGCAGAGGCGCCCAGACCCCGGAGTGGCAGCCTCTAGAGCAGTGGTTCTCAACCTTCCTAATGCCTCAACCCTTTAATACAGTTCCTCATGTTGTGGTGACCCCCAATTTCATTGTTACAAATATAAACATAATTAAAGCATAGTGATTAATCACAAAAACAATATGTAATTATATATGTGTTTTCCGATGGTCTTAGGTGACCCCTGTGAAAGGGTCGTTCGACCCCCCAAGGGGTTGCGACCCACAGGTTGAGAACCGCTGCTCTAGAGGCTGAGTTCCCCGTTGCCCAGGAAGTGCATGACGCAAGATCCCAGTTCCCAAACTGAGACGAGTCCCAGGTGTTTATTGCAACAGCAGATGTGGGTGCAGTTCTAAAAAAGGTTCTCCCAGCAGGCTCGGGAGGGCAAGCCACCCGTGTCCCCGGGAGTCCTGCATCTGCAGCTATGGGGAACCTGATCCTTAGAGGAGATGGATTTTCTGTTTCAGATCATTGATAACCAGGGTGCAGCTGGCTCAGGCAGTCCAGAATCCAGGGAACTCCCTGAACACAGGGAGCGGCCCTTAGGGCCTAGAGGAGAGTGGCCAAATCTTCTCCTAAAATATAATCCCACCTCTCCCCAGGCTCCTAAGACCTCCCACCTCTCTCCTCCCAGCTCCTTTTCCATCCCTGGCTGCTACTCCAACACCCGAAGCTGGTTCCCACCCCAGGGCCTTTGCACAGGTTCCTTCTGCTGCAGGCTCTTCCCTATGGCTGGCTCCTCTCTATGCCCAGCCTCATCTTTTCAGGGACATGCCAACCTCTTGGCTGATGTGGCCACACAGCCCCCCGTCATTCCCTGCCCCTGTTGCCTTCATAGCCCTCATCACTCTCTGAAATTCCTATTTAGATATTCACTTATTGGTCTGAACCTCGGAGGGCAGGGCTGGGTTGGATCTGTGTCCCTGGCTGCAGGACAGGCAGGCCTTGCTGACTGAGTGCCTGGTGGGGACTCCTTCCCTGCTCTGGTGTAAACAGAGTTTCTGGTGGAGGTGGGGGTGTCACGGCCTCGCACTGGGTCCCAGGACCCCCGACTCAGACCTGGCCCCCGTTCAGAGTCTGTCTTTGGCCCTCACTGCTGTCTCAGTCTCTCTCACTATCTCTGGCTCTGTCTCTTGCTCACTGTCTCTCTCAGTCTCTGACTCTTTCACTCTCTGTCTCTCTTGTCTCTGTGTCCCCCTACCTCTGTCCCTCACCATCTCTGTCTCTCTCACTGTCTCTCTGTCTCTAGCTCGCCATCTCTCTCACGGTCACCATTGCTCTGTCTCTGTCGGTCTCTGACCCTTTCGCCATCTCTGTCCCCCCCTGTGGCCGGGCCAGGCCTAGGGCCCGGGGTGAGAGGCAGGCAGAGCTTCCACGGCTTGTTTTCCACCCTCGCTGCGCAGGGGGCCCCAGCAGGGCTGCTGTTCAGGAATCCTCCCGCC